GGGGGGGTGTGAGGGGGTGGGGGCTGTTAACATCAGCCTCTAATTGGTAATTAGAAGTAGCACATGTTGGTTTATGGGGTCCTCTCCTACTTGGCATTATAAATTGCACAAGCGTGTCAACACAGCAAATAACACGAGACCAAACAATGCTGGGAATCCACAGATGTTGGCACGACGAGGAACAACTCCACTGAATAGAAGCAGAAACTTTGTTTGTGGCTGATTTTAAAATTCAGATATAACAGCAGTCTCCTCACCTGTGGGACACTTCTTCCTCATCCTGCACCTCTGCGTCTCGCTGTGGGACGGGCAAAGCAACGCCGCCTTCTCCTCAGGCGTCCTGCTGCCGCCCCGGGTCCTGGTCTGCTTGCCCCACCTGAAGCCGCAGGTGACGCCGTCGCGGAGGCAGGAGCTCCACTCGCTCCACTCTGCCGCCGGAGCCAAGAGACAGTCCTCTGAGAGAGAGGGAGGGAGGGGAGGATTAGAGAGAGGAGATACGAGCCGATTGAAGATATCACAAACAAAAACTCAGGTTTTTTTCATTGTATTTTACAAAAGCAGATCATGAAAGAGAAACCAATGTTGGAGGAATTTGAATCTGCAGAAGCCAAAGTGCCTGATCAGGTTCAGATGTGGTGGATCCAGGAACCTTCAGGTGTTCTTGAAGATGATCAGAGAGAGAGAGAGGGAAAGTTCCTCTGGCTCGTTTAAAGAGGTGGAAAGAAATGTATTTAATATGTTGAAATAAATAAATACTATTGATGCACATCTTTTCTTTCCTTCTTTTTAAATATAAATAATGTCTCCTTCTAAATTTTGTTTTCCACACACAGAGGAGAGAAATGCACAGACTGAGATAATCAAGATAAAAGGACCCATGTAATGGGTAATGTAATAAATGTAATAAATGTAATATAAGACATATATGTCTTTATATCAAGAGTGATGTTGCCATATAACATCTATAAAATATCCATAGTAAAATTCAGGTTCATGAAAACAACATGCTTATTAAAATTCTATATGTTTATAAATGATTTCTTATTAATTTTGCATTAATTTTAAACATACGTGTCTGTCTTTTATTTTTACATTTATAATATCAACCTATATCGACCAGTTTTGGGATGGAGATATATTTACATACCATATGTCTACAATATAAGCAGCATGTTTCTATTAGCTAGACATATATGTCAAAATATGAAATTGTAAAAAATGTGAATATATTATATTCATAGGGTATGTATACATGATTTAACTTCATATGTACGTATATTTCATATAAGGAAATTCAAGACATGTACATATATTACATTTGCGTGTGAGGAAGCAAGCAGTATTTTTATATATATATAGCACATTTCCCACACAGAAATATAATATATGACATAAATGTCTCTATATCAAGAGTGATGTCACCTATAAGAAGATGTATTATTATCACATGTATCTCTGGATATATGAAGATATACGTTCATAACATAAATTAAATGGAAAGTAAAATTTGTATATGTATATATATTAAAATATCTATGTAACGCATATGCTCACGGCATTAATGTTTATTAAATAAATAAATACAGAAATGTATGTATTTGTATATATAGATATTTATGTCAATATATGAAATTGTTCCAATTTCTAACAAGTTTTTATATATAATTTTGTACATATATTTACATTAAAATTAAAATGTATATTTCATATATAGAAATTCAATATATGTACATATATATATATTGAATTTGCATATGGGTTAATCCCAGGTGGGAGCAACTATGTGGATAAAAGAAAATAAAACATGAGACACAAATTAAAACAAACATAAATGAAACGTATGAATTAAAAACCATTAATTAAGACCAACAACCGATCAGTAAAATAAAAAAGTATATAAATTAAGACAATAAAACAATAGATAAACAATAAATTCCAGCCATAAGCAGTGGAGTGGTAATAATATATTGAGACAAATGTTTTCTTCAGGCCCCTGGCAACCACATCTCCAGGATCTCAGATGAGTTCCAGCTGAAGCATTAACACACGGGACATTACACTCGTGGCGACCGGTCGCTGATGAGTGATGTCACCCACAAAATCAAAGTCACCACAAGTTTTTTTTTTTTTTTTTCCAACACAGTCCACGGCGGAAAAAAACCTGCAGCCTCGTCCAGGATTAGAAAAATATTTCTCGGTAATCATCATTATCGTCGTCGAACAGATTTCCGGCGACTCTTTTCTCTCGAGTGGCTTGAGGTGTGTACCGACGTGAAACCTGAAAACCAGATGTGGTCGACCACGCCAGGATACAACGGTAGCTGCAGATGGTGCAGGTGGACGGCAGAAGGGAAGGGAGGGGAGGGGAGGGGGAGGGGAATGATTAGTGAGCCTGACAATATATCTCACTTACTTAGAAAGGAGGGATGAAACACAACGCGACGTGGAGATGAATCGTAAATCTTTTTAAGTTTTAATGTGAATCAGGTGTTAAACTGAAAGGTTTTGGCTCCACGATGTGAAAAGATTCACCTGAACAATGAATGAAGAGAAAGAAACGGGGGAAGACGAACGATCACAGAACCAGATGAAGGAGCTCTCGGAGGGAAAATGTTAAAATGAATGGATGTGTCATTAAGCCATCAGTGGCGTTTAACGAGATAAAAACCTTTTTAAAACATCACTTCCTCGAGAGGAGTGATTCGATCCATGTGAAAGTGTTACTCGAATCACTTCAACATTTGTTCTCTTGTTTTATGGTCTTTCCTGAATCAGAGTATTCCCCCCCCCCGCCCACAAGCAGATGCCATCTATTAATAGTCACATTATTTCACTAAAATCATCTTGATGTAAGATAAAAAAAAACGAAAAAAACAACCCAGAACGAATGAAACACTCGACCGTCCACACGTGAAATACGGCAGAGAAGAAGACACGGAGCCAGAGGGACAGATGAAAGAAGAAGAACACGTCTGCTGTTGATTAAAAACCTCTTAGATTCGCTGCACTGCTGCATCCACTGCAGAGCTGCAGACCGACTGTACGTTTTATGGCCGGCTAAGGGTCAGAGCGGGTTTTCTTCACTCGCTTCACGACTGACGGGAACTGGAGACAGCAATTAAAACGGGATACAGGTCGCAAAAGGTTACACAGGGGTGTTAAACGTGCGGCGCTCTCATCCTGAGGTGGGCGGAGAGTGAGGTTTAAACATGGTCAGTGACCTCATCACGTGACGGACGAACCTTACTTTGGTTTCTGCGCACGTTTAAGATGCATCCGCACACACAGTTTCTGTCGCGTGTTCTCAGAACCGGGACAAAGGGCGTGTAAAGGTTTCTGAAACCAGGATACAAAACCAAAAACCCGATCACGACCAGGACACTGGTGTGGATGTAATGACGCAGAGTGACGTGTCAGCGCGCTGTTCGAGGGCGTCGCTGAGGACAGAGCAAATATAAGAGTTTTCCAAACTTGTAGCGGGACACGTCAGAACGAAGCGGGAAGCTCCAGCTGTGTTTAGAGTCAATCTATAAGATGCATCTTTCCTGCGCTGAGAAACAAGTGTTAGCAGAGAGGCTTCAGGTAAGTGAAGGAGCTCCGTTTCCACAGCAACCAGGTTTCAGGTCTACTTTCTGTTTCCTTTCCATGCCCGGCTGGATGCCTCGTTATTCGACTGCATATTAGCCATGTGGGTGTTCTTCACAGCACGCAGCTTCACAAAAACACAGACTGTCAACAACAGGATTCTGAAGCTCAGAGTGAGCTGCTCCACCGTCGCCATCTTGGCAGCGCCTGACTCCGCCCCCTAACTCCCAGCTAATCCAAAAATGGTAAACGAGGAGGGGCCTGTGTGGAGCTGAGACTTCAGGGCATGAATGTTTGTATCAAGCATACACTCACCCACCTGTCACTCAAAGAGGCCACGCCCTCAATCCTCCATAACTTTAGTCCTTAATAAAATGTAAACAGGTGAGTTATATAAACAGGTGTCATGAAGGAGGAAATTAGGGGGACTGACTCACTGTTGGAGCCAGACTCTAGTGGTCGTTAGAGGAACTGCATGTGTTGTGATTGTAATGTGTCTCACTCACCCAGGCAGTCTGTGTTGTGGGGGAGGGTTCCCTCTGGGCAGCTGGTCAGACACTTGCCTTTGTACAGGTGAAAGCCGGGTTTACACTTGGTGCAGAAGTCGCGGCTGAAACAGTGCTCGCAGTCCACGGAGCGGCACTCTGAGGGGAGGGGGAGACGAGTCGTCAACAAACAACCAGTCAGGAAGAAACTGTCTCCTGTTCACATTGTCAACACCTGAGTTTACACTTCAGTCATGCAGGTGAGATGCAGGTTAACTCTAGTATTTTTACTTGAGTAAAAACAAAAGTGACAAGATGAAGCTTTGATAAAGTGTGTGAGAACACAACTGATGAAAAGAGTCGAAACAGCAGCTGCAGCAGAGAGGAAGCAGCCAACTGGCTCGATCACGCCTGGCGTCCCGAACCAAACCCACCTACGGCGTTGCACGACCTACAGGTGCATGCTGGGTGGGGCCTTCATCTATGACTGAGAACGAGCAGAGAAACTGGAGGTAGGATCCACACACTCCACACCTCCACAAGCTGAACCAACAACTCTCAGCACTGTTGTATTAGACTGCATTAGCTTTAGCTAGGTGTTCCTAATAAACTGGCATATATAGGCTATGCAATGAAATACCAATGCATACACACCTGGCAGACTAAATTCTTTCTTCTTTAATTGTCTGTTGTTATCACCATATATTTTCCCCCTCCTCTTCCCTCTTAACGCAGATCTTAGTAACTTTACTCCGGTCCTCTCTCCACCTCTGCAGACGACCTGCAGTGTTCTGTCCTGGAGGCATGGAGGACGCGTCTCGTGTGACTGTGTTTACCCGAGCCTCCAGACTTCCACTCCAGTCATCACCGCACATTGTTTTGTGTTTCTCAAATATAAGGAGTGTAAACGATGCCAATCTGGCACAAAGCGACGCCGCGCGCTGATTGCATTTTGAGCTCCACTGACTGTTTTCCAGGAAGTTCAAAATCCCTCCTTCATGTCATCTCAAAAAGCTTTTTATATGATTATGTATACTGAATTTGTGGTTTCAGGGGGGTTTCAGCCAGTCGGGATGGTTCCTATCTTTGCTCTCACTGTGTTTGTCTAAGGTCAGACCAGGACGTGCTTTAGTTATCGGCGCTGCTCTCTGTCAGGTAGACGGGTGCCAGCAGCGGTGGGAGAGAAGAAACTGTTTCTGAGGGCGTCTTGGCTTCTCTTTAGTCGAGTAAATTTCTCACTGAATGAGACAAAAACTCGGCACTACGGTGAAGTTTTCTTTTATTGGGACAGTATGTGTCTGGGATGAATTAAGCAAGGTGCATCTCAGTAAATATGTAAACTCTGTGTATGTGGGTATTTACGCCTCGAGACGAATGAGTCACGTGCGAGCGATGTGAGTGAGGTGTCGGTCAGACAAAGATCTCTGCAGGTGAACCGACGTACTCATGCAGCGGTTGATGTCCTTCCCTCTCTGTCCGTAGTGTCCGGCGGGGCAGGCGTGGAGACATGTCCCATGGTGAGACATCCCCTCCCTCTGCAGGAACAGGAAGAGTCGCTCGGGGCAACGCACGCAGCCGTTGTCGCGGGAACACTCCAGACAGCCCCGACAGTCCTCTGATGTCTCTCTGTGAGCTGCAGAAGAAAACAGAGGCGGGGGATTAGGACAGGAGAGAGCGGAGAGGGGGAGGGGAGGGGGGAAGGAAAGGAGACATCACAAATCCTCGTGGTACCAGGAGAATTTTTCACTGAGCTCCTGAAATCCAGAGCTGGAGATGCTGCTGGCAGTAAAGCTTTTAACACGAGAACAGACTGAACACTCAGCACGATCCAATCTAATCAAACCGACGTCATTTCAGATTGTGAGAGTGCGAGAGCAGGTTAAACATCATTCAAAAGGTGTTAACATGGAATTAAAACCGCTCCATCCAGAGGCGTTCCCAGGCCAGATGAGATATATAATCCCTCCAGTGTGTTCTGGAGGGAACACACACACACACACACACACCCCCGGGGGGGTCTACTACCCGTTGGAGGAGCCCAGAAGACCCCCACCTTAATCAGATGCCTGCACCGCCTCGACTGGCTCTACTACATGAACCCACCCCCCACTGTAGGACCCCCACCTGCAGAGAAAGGCATCTGGTTGGGGTGTAATTATATTATATGAGGTGTAATTATTTTATTTCATGCATTTTCTCGCCTCTTGTTGTGATTCAGTTTATCGGATTCTGCCGTTCTGGAACGTGGAGCCTCTAATGTGTTCTCCATATTACATCACAACACTTAAAACATGCTGACAAGAGGCTTAATGGAAACAACAACATGTGGGGGCTCTGCCTTGTTAGAGAATCACAACACAACCCTCAAATTTATTTAACTATTGCTTATTTACATTTTGGAAGAGCTCCTTTTTTAACAAGATAAAGGCCGTGCATGTAAGTTTCAAACTTATACTTTCTTTGTCAAATAAGTGACACCTTCTTGTTCGGCACCATGTCTCATTTAACCGTCTGTCAAAACGAGATGTAAAAGACAAGTCGTGCCAGCAGGATTCACAGTTTGCGGAGCCGTCTGCATCCGTCTGTTGTGGGTCTGCTGGTCCCGAATCTTGTTGTGTGTCAGCATGTGTGTTTGTGTTCCAAGAATTGATGATTTATCATCTGATTAAACACACTGAGGTGATTAGTCCAGCGAGATCTCATGTGTCTCTGCAGCATGACGGGCTGACGTCTAAGCCGGAGTAAGTCTTATTATATTATAACAGCCAGCGGAGATGTCTGCTCCCAGATACACACAAGACAGGAATGCTTCCAATCCGACGGGGATAAGGAGGGATACGGAAAAGACGGGCGAGGTTCGGATGGAAAGACGGATAAAATGAAGTAAAGAGGGATGGAAAGACGGAGAGGAGGTGAAGGACGGGCAGCGAGGGTGTGCGTGAGTCTGAACCATCGCAGAGTCTGATCCTCACAAAGAACCTGTGGCTGACTGCCGGCGTCCCTGTTGATTGAGTGTGTGTGTGTGTGTGTGTGTGTGTGTGAGCAGAGGTTTTTTTATGCTCCAAAAATGCATTGCATGTAACCAGGTCACCAACAGAGGTTGTTAAAGGTCACAGTTCGTGCACCTACGTGGAATGAAGAATGACTTTTTAACCTCATAAGCTGATTATTGTCACACTTCCTGGGAAGGACAGTAAGACCCAGCTGATGACTGCGACGTGCTTTGTGAACTGAAACACTGAGGCGAGTTTACCTGCTGCAGCTCAGCTCAACCTGAGCTCGTCCACAGCTGATTCTCAACCCCTGAAACTTCCACTTTAGCTCGACTCTAAACTGTAGCTAAGCTAAACAAATACCAGGGGACGCAACAGCAGCCGGACACTTCTAGACTTAGAACCGAACCCCTGCGTCGTTTTTTCCCTCCTCGCTACGATTCGTTTGTGCAGGTGTGAAAACAGGAATCCAATCCAGGAAACTCTGGAGCAGTTTGAGCTCGACTTTACTTTCCTGCTCCAGACAATCCGACCAATCAGAGTCGGATTAACCAGTTAGGTTAACCCTAACCCTAACCCTAACCCTTCGTCTTTATTCAAAAGATGAAGACAAAAATATTGGGTCAAGAAATCAAGAAGACGGGTTTCTCCTGTTAGTCTGCACTTTGCAAAGCTGCATAGTTCAGGAAACACTTCGTCGCACTTCCTGATAATCAAGAGTGGAGAGGGAAAGACTGAGTGAAGAGTTAAAGAGGAAGACCAGAGCAGATTTCCTCAGAACAACCCAGAGACCCTCACTGAGCTGTGGGACCTTACTTCGAAGTCTCGACCTATTGTCTGAAAAACAGTTCTCTACACATGTGCTATCGATCTGCAGGCTTAGGGGACTTTCGGAGGAGCGGCAGGTTTAGGTAGCGTAAAACACTGACCTTTGGCCTTGCATGGGATTGCACGGGGTTTTTAACCAGCACCAGGTGCAACAAGCTCTGTTGGGGTTTCAGGGAAACATGCTAGTGAGTGAAAAGGGACTTCCACCCTAAAACTGGATTTACATGGTAACAAATGGTAAGAAAGGTGAGAAAAATTATATATAAGCAATAAAGTCTGATGATAAAATGTTTTCTAATGGTTTGATGGATATGACTCCAAGGTGTTAAGAGTAAAACAACTAAAGAAAAATTTGATTTTCCCAAGAAAAATGATCCGAAAACAACATCAAAAATCATATTACAGCTCCTCCAACACATCTTTACTCAACACATCTTAATTAATCTTAATTAATCTTTATAAATCTCATCAGATCAGACAGAAAACTTTATCTCAGATGAGTTCAGGTGTAGAAAACAGTAAGATTTCTGTTTTTAGGGTGTGTGTGTGTTTTTCCAGTAATACACATCAGCCACGGCTTCAGTAGATGGAGCCAAAATACCCATGATGCACCATAATGTGTACATTAACAAGAAAAACGTGCCGGGTGGGGGTGACGTGTTAAAACAACACAAGCTGTGCGGTCAGTAATGGCCCATGTGGACGTCCAAATAATTGATAGCAGTCGGGTTTAACACATTTTTCACCACGTGACTCCTGGAGGTCGGAGCGGCGTGCGATACGTCTTCATGTTCACTCTGCAGGTGATGATCCTCGCCGGTCGTGTTCAGAGTAATAATAAGGACTATAGCGGTCCAGGTCTGGAGGCCCGGTGGTGAAGGCTCATATATAACCTTAAATTCTCTGGTTCACGTATTGCTGGATGTCACGCTCTCCGCCTCCTCTCTCCTCGTGTGTCAGGACGTAAAACTCACTGCACGCCTGTTCAGACACTTCCCTCTGCAGGATCAGGTGTTTTCATTGGCCTGTGATCACATGACGTGGTCACATCACTGGTCAACATTACGACGAGACGTTATTATGATGCCGTGTTTTCCTTCCTGGTACAGACTGTGAGACCTGAACTTCTGTATCAGCTGATACCAAGTATTGATCCGATCCTGATATGTAAACCCTCTGAAACGACCAATAGGAGCGTCTCCAGAAATAGCGGCAGGCGAATCGGACCTCGGTTGTCATGGTTACAGTAATAAACACGCAGACTGTGCCGATTGCGGCGTACATACTCTTGTTACCGTGGTTACTATAATTACAGTCACGGCTTGGTTAGGTCCAGGAAAATCGACATTAGACGATCTCTGTCGTCATGGTTACAATATAAACAGCTGTTTTCACACAGGAATCGAACACACCGCTCTCCTGTGTCGCATTCATCCATCCACCGCTTCCTCCTCCTGACCTGGACTCTGTCTCTCTTTACACTGCGTCACCGACACTTTTCCCCTTTCGCTCCCGTCATCATTACTACGACCACTAGATGTCGCCTAGCAACAAAACGTAACTATGATGTCATAACAAGCTGCCGCACAGACGGCCGTATATAAATATGGTGGTAAATAATGGTGGGAATTTCCAGTTGCCAAATTGTTTGACACATTGCTAACAGCTATTTACCAGAAATCGTTTCTTCTTTGCTGCTCTAAAACAGTAGTTTACAGGTCGACCTGATGGCCGAGTGAGCAGCAGGTCTCCGGTTTGACTCTCTCTCCCTGTATTTCCTGTCCATCTAAACTTTCCTCGTCAAATAAAGGCGTAAAAATGCTGGGAGAAAAAAACAGCTTGAACAGGAAGTTGTGCTGTGCGGCCACTGGAAACTACTGTTTTAGAGCGCAGAAGAAGAATTAATTAAGAATTAATGCATTACACAGCATCAAAGTGGATCATAGACTCTGACATAGATACCGGATCCAGTATTTTAGGCAGAATCAGAGGAATTTTTGATACGAGCTTCAGTGTCTGAAACAACTCTGATCAAATATAGAATCAAACATAACAACTATAACATTATAGTTTGAGAGGCATGAATTCCTTTAACTCTTCGGTTTAAACGTCCTGCCCTGAAACAGCAAGATACCGACAATAACCAGTGATAATTGATTATTAATTGGCACAATGTGACTTGTGTATTCTAGCGTAACGTGGATTAGTCTGTCACATGTCAGAGCAGCAGACTGACCGTGAAGCTCTTCACCTCATGGTTTGATCAGTGGCTCTGAATCCTCCTTTTAAAACAGTCGCAGGCACTGAACATGACCTCCAGTAACCTCACAGAAACACAGATGGACACTAATGGACACGATAATGGCTTCAACCTCCCGACTTCAACTTTCCCGCTCCGAAACACTTTTCACTCGCACGTGTGTGTGTGTGTGTGTGTGTGTGTGTGTGTTTTAACAGCTAAATGAACCAAGTCCAGATGTGACAGAGGGTGAAAGGGTGGGAGAGGTGGGGAAGTGGAGGTGGGAGGGTGGGGGTGAGGGGCGAGGCAGGAGTAAAGGGTAAATAAAGGAGAGGGGGGGAGAGAGAGAGAATAAAACAACATAAATCTGTTTGGTGTGAAGTGATGAAGTCTGACAGCGGGTCAACCTGCCGAGCCTCAACCAGAATCTGACCCTTCAAATCTAAAACCACAATCTAACTTCGAGCTCAGCATCAAACGTCTCAATCCAACTTTCAATACGTCTTTTTTTATTTATAACTTTATACAACTTTGTATATTTTATATATTCTTTCATGTAGTATGACTCATAAAGGTTATGGACTTTTACTTTTTAATTTGAATTCACAGCAGCAGCCGCCCGGTTCTTCATGACAGATTATTAATATTAGATTATCGATTACAACTGAACCTCGCAGGTTTTTGCAACACGTTTGTGTTTTTGTGCAACACCTGCACACGTTTACTGCACTGGCACCTCTTGCTTTTTAAAAAGCGCATCATGTGTTTTCTTCTTCTTTGGTATTCGTCAGTCTGGCTTCGGTAAACATATTTGAAACTGCACAATCTTGCTGTCACAAGCTATTAGCTGGAATGAGAGTCAGTGACACCTGATGGCTTCACGCAGCCCCTCTCGTCATTATCCTAACGCGTCACCTCTGGTGGTGGGGGGGGGGGACGTCGGAAGCCGAGATGACGGTGTAATTGAGACCGGATCTCCCTCTATTAGTCACAGGTTGCTGAGGAAATGCCAGGCGCCGGCGAGCGTCAGGGTCACCTGGACGTCAGGGGGTTTCACAAAGGTTTTTATAAAGAGTCTTTAGCCACAAATCTGGATCTGGATCTGAGAAGAGTTTCTCAGCTCACAAGGAGCGACGTGACGTTTTAGCCACTGACGACACACGAAAACATACAAATATAAAATGTGATTAAGGTTCTGATGAAGATCCACATTCAACATGTTTCGCAGCGTGATGTTAAAGTATTACATTTGTGGATTTGGAGCGGCGGAGGAGAAATCTGTCAGGAGATGTACAACATCACCCGTTTAATATCTGCAGCAGCCGCTGTTAAAACAAAGCACCGGACCTCCTCCTGTTCATCTCTAATATCTTCATTTTTAAATCATCTAATAAAAAGACATAAAGTGAAGAGATATCCTGCAGTGATTCACTTTTATTATCAAACAGCAGCACTATGTGGTACAGGATACAGTTGTAGTAAATTCTGTAAATGTTGCAGCTCTTTTTTAACGTAATAAAAAACTTTATATAAAAGTTACGCCGTGTCTTTAATGTTTAAATTAAAGTTTGAAGTTATTTGTGATATTTTCTTCGAGTAAAAGTGATGAATCAGTCCAGGATATCCATTTGATATTTATCATTTCTGCATGTTTTCATTTAGTCTGATCCACTGAATCAGTTCCTGATCTGCTGTCACACATCATGCTGAATATCTCATGAACCACTAAGAAACTGCAGAGAATTTACAACAACAACAAAAAAAGCAGAAATGATCATCTTAAAGGTGCAAAACCTCCCCATCCCAAAAATATTAAAAATCTCTGCATGCTGCGTACTCACCACTTTGCTTCTGCATGACACCAGATCCCATCCTGATCACCTCACACAGAAAGGATATCACAATGGCAAAGAGTCGCAAATGCATCTGGGCAGCTGGCAAGCGCCCGCTTCAGCGCCAGGCTGCGGACATCTGCAGGGACTCCAGGGGTGTCAGGATGAAGACTTAGTTCCACAGCGAGGGGACAGAGACAAGGAGGGAAAAAGGGCAAAGACAGGGGAGCTGCTGCTGGTGGTGGTAGTGGTGGTGGTGGTGGGTATAAAAGCTGAAGGGATGGATGGAGATGAAGTGGAGAAGATAATCTCACAGGCCCAGAGCAGCGATGAAAGCGATGAGAGTGAAGGTGAGAGCAGAGAGGGGAGAGGAGAAAATCCTCCTCTCCTTTTGTCCTGTTTCACGCAGAAGATTTAGGGCTGAGATGAGCAGACAGGCGACCGTAAACCACGAGGAGACGAGCACAGGAGAGTCAGAAACACCGGAGGTGAGCAGAGCACCGTCTCATCTGCTTCCTCAGACTGGCAGCTTGGAGGGAAAACTCACCATTTAACTACCACTGTCAAATTTGCGATAAACGAGCTCCACTTATCCCGTAGCCATCTTTAACCCTTTATAGGGTGAGCTCACAGGGCCTAAGTGGTTCCACATTTCCAGATTGATCTTTAGCCCCCTCCTCCTGGCTCTATCTAATGTTCTTCAGTCTCCTCTTATTATTATTCTTGTTTACGTTTTTTTTTTTGTTTTTTTTTCCTGAACCAGGCAGCTTTGTTTGCTGTGGCAATCCTATTAAATGTGGGCAGTCAGTAAAGTTAATTTGACCACCCTGACAGAAAGAAAAACAGCTGGAGAGCAGCATAGCTGAGAGTTTAAAATCTGATTATAGCCTACCATGTTTTTGCAATTGATTAGTTTTGCCTGTTTCGGGTAACGAGTCAGGTACGTAAGAAGTCTGCGATTTATAAGTCTGAGAAGAAGAAGAGGCTGCGTCAGACAGTTATACACATGCAGGTATGAGGCAGATCATAAACCTTCCTGTCAGATACAGTGGATGAGCCATCCTCTCCTCAAATATCAGCTTCCATAATTACTGCTAATATATAAATATATATATGTATACACAAGATACATAAAACATTAGAAACTGCCGCCTGCAAGTGATGTGCTGTGAAGATTTTAAGGTTTATTTTAATAAGCACCTGTCTGTCTTTAACTCCACACCTGTTATTGTGAAAGATAAAGCACAGTAATAAAATGGATTAATTGATATGTTTTTGTTGCATCTATCCTGCTTAACATGTGGTAGCCATGAGAGGTTGGGTTATATGAATTAATACAGTATATCATGAGGAAACAGGGATTTGTCAGTAGATCAAGTAGAAATTTCCTCTATGAATTATTGAAGAACTGAACTGAATTTCCAGAAAATATGTAATAAAGATATGCTACACTTTCTGGAAATATACATATACATATATATATTGCTAAATATAAATGCATGTCCAATTTCATGTAATTATCAAGAGTGAAAGCAAGTAAGTAAAAAGTAAACATTAAAAGTACTTCAGTTTCCTTGTCTCCTTTAAATGACATTTACATCCAACATTACATTTTATGAGGAAACATAATTACTGGGTTGGATTAGAGTTTTTTTCTACTGTTTTGTTTATGTTTCCTGACTCCAGCGTGTGGTCAGGTTCAGCCAATAGAAACGCTTTGTTTAAAATTAGATTAGGAGTAAATGTGGATAAATGCTCATAAAGTGTCACTTTTTATATTTACAATATTTAACCAAGACCACCATCTTTTTCCCTGACCTTAAATATGCGCTTTCTTATTGTGCTTATGCTGCTCTAGCAGGTATTTTATTTATTTATAAGTGATTTTATGTTGACATAAAAAAACAGCATTTTGTATCTTTCAAAATGTACTTGCTGTGTATATTAATTCATTTTCTAGAAATTAGTGTAACGTGCAGTTTGATATGTGGTGGTTTGGATCAGCCTTTAGAAAAGAAACAGCTGGACGGAGACGGATTAACTTCTCAAGTAACACCTTTACTTTTCTACAACAACAACACTTCCTGTCCCTCTAAGTCACATGTCGCTAAACTAACCGATCAGAGGCTACAACGACTTTGATTCCTGAATCGTGTAGACTTAAATATGTAAATAATTAAGTGTATCAACATTGTTAATATATTCCTAGTAGATTAAATCAAATAAACAGTATGAATTGGCATCTAAACCATATATTATTGACCTCAGCTGAAAAGAAAGAAAATGTTCTTATTCGGAAAATTTACTTATTTGTTTTCCATAACAAACATTTTCTTATGAGAACCTTGTTAAATAAGCCACATGTTGAGGGTGCAACTTATACAACAGTAAAATCTCCAAATACATTCACACATAAATGGCAACTGCAGAGTCAACCATAGAAGAAAAACACTCCAACACCAAACATTATTCCTTCTGTTGTGGATGACTTACATCAAACATGATGTAGTAAAAAAGCTCTTTCTGATTAAATATATACATATTATGTATATTTAATTGCATTAGCTCCACAGGCTGAAAGTGCAGACCGTGTGGTCGCAGTGTTGTGGCTTTGACTCACAACCTTTGTTGCACGTTATCCGCTCTTGTTTGTCTGTCTCTCCGTCCCCTTTATTTAGAGTGACTTTAATGTCCAATGTCATGTCTCTATTTAGACTAATTTTCTTCTAAACTAAAACTGATTTACTGACTGACTCACTGCGCCCTCACCACTCATTACCAGATCAAAGATGTAGTTTTATAGACTACAGAAAAGCTTTCTGTTTGTCTACACTCTAAAAAGTAAAATGGCTTTGAGGAACCTTTTGGGCAGTGGAACAATCCCATATTTTTTACTTTTTTTTTGACAAATCTCTTCACGTTTTTTATGAACTCAGAATTTCAAGGAAATTGTTCAACTATATTTAATTTAACTAATCTAACCCTAATTTATATACCGGCAAAGCATAGCCTACACTAGCTTTAAGGCATGTTACATTATTATAAAGAGAAACCCAGCAGTGAGCAGAACTTTGTGACAGTTAAGAGGAAACAGAACCAGGGGAGTTTTTCAGCATCCTTTTGAGACTGGATGTTTCTAATTTTCACAATATTGTTCAGGTGAAAGAAGGCTGAGACTTTTATGTGAGGTAAATGACCCCAAGGTTTGTCACTGTTACACTGGAGGCCAAGGTAATGCCAACTATATAAGTAACTATATTATCAGATAATGTTTCTCTAAGGGGGTTGACTTCAGTTTTGTCTAAATTTAGAAGTAAAAAAAATTACAGGTCACCCAGGTCTTTATGTCTTTAAGTCATGCCTGAAGTTTGATAAATACAGCTGAGCGTCGTCTGCGTAGCAATGAACATTTATCTGCTGCTTCCTGATTATATTGCATAAAGGAAGCATATATACAGTGAAAAGTACCGGTCTTAGTACAGAACCCTGTGGAGCTCCATGACTGGCCTTTTGTGTGGATTGAAGAGTCATTGTTAACAAACTGGAATCTGTCTCACTCAAACCAGCCTAGTGCGGTTCCTTTAATGGCAATGACACGTTCTAGTCTCTGCAATAAGATCCTGTGATCGATGGAATCAAAAGCAGCTCTGAGATCTAGTAGGACGAGTATAGAGACGAGTCCATTGTCTGAGGCCATGAGGAGATCATTAGTAACTTTAACCAGAGCCGTCTCTGTGCTACGATGAACTGAAAATCTTCAAACAAACCATTCCTGTGTAAATAATCACATAATCAGCTTGGAACTTCTCCTTCAAGGATTTTAGAAATAAAGGTTTGATTTAGGTCTGTAATTGGTTAAAACATCTACATCAAGTTGAGGCTTTTTAAGTAGAGGTTTCATTACTGCAGCTTTAAAGGCCTGTGGTACGTAACCTGTTAATAAAAATCATTACTCATATAGAAGTAGAAGACACGTTGATGGTTTGGATGAAGAAACTGTTGAAGTGAGTTCAGAAAGATCTACAGGAGAGAATCAGTCTAAATATAAATCAGCTACTGTACTGGACAGTATCTGTGCTAATTGTTGGAAGGAGGCGAGGACCTCTTTCTCTGATTTAATTTAAAATCATTTGAGTCATTACTACTGAGGGTTAAAGGAACAGACGGCTCAACAGAGCTGCGACTGTCTGTCAGCCTGGCAACAGAGCCGAACAGAAACCTGGGGCTGTTCTTGTTTTCTTCTATTAATGATCAACAATACGAGGTTCTGGCATTACAGAGGGATTTTTTTTTTTTTTTTAATATGTTATTAGACTTTCCAGGCCTGGTGAAATATTCTTCTAGACTGGTGGAACACCACTTCCTCTCCAGCCTTAGTGAAGTCTGCTTTACAGCAAGTGTTTGTGAGTTGTACCACGAAGTCTCCTGTGATTCACTACCTGCTTTTTTTCAGAGGGGAAAGTGTCGAGCGTCAAACACGGTGAAGCTGCAGCAATATGAACGAGATCATCGATTTGTGTTGGGATAACTGTCCCCCGCTGGATTGACACTCAGCAATGGAATTATTTACTTAAAGAGACAATTGATTTTCTATTCTATTCCACCACTATCAATAAAACAACACTGTGGAAATAAGGGAGAACTAGAATCACCTCCTCGTGGTCGTATCCCTCCGCCACTCAGACTAGTTTCACGTTACATCCCTGTTTATCCAGGGTCAAATAAAATATGAACCATTTGTTGGAAATTTTGTCATAATTGCTGTGTAAAGTCAAGATTTATGGGCTAAATAGTGTTTTGTGAGGTCACACTGACCTTGACCTTTGACCTTTGGTCACCAAAATCTAATCAGATCGTCCTTGAGTTCAGGTGAAGGTTTGTGCCAAATGTGAAAAGGTTCCGTCGAGGTGGCCAAAGTAATTTTTTGTGAGGTCACATTGACCTTGACCTTTGACCCCCAAAATCGACTCCATTCATCCTTGAGTCCTAGTGAATGTTTGCGCCAAATTTGAGGAAATTCCGTCGAGGCGTTACTGAGATATTGTGTCCACGAGAATGGGCAACGACGGACAACCCTGAAAACGATACGCCTTC